ATATATACATGGGTTTTCAAAAAATTTATCAATTCGCATTTTTTAAATTAAAATTCACCACCCTGTAAATCCGTAGCGAAGCATTTTTCAGCTATCATTTATATAGCAAACTTGGGTTATTTTCGGACGTAAAGTACGTGGTTAAAATAATGGCCCTTCCTCATGAAACACCTTGTATAAACTAATCTTCCTCAATAATTAAATTCTTAATTAGAAATGTTTGTTAATTTCGTTTATTTCTAATATTATCAACCTGACTTATTCGTTCATTCGATACGACCTGGAAACACTTCGATTATTGAAAATTCACAAAGTTTGACATTCACAAGAATTTTGGATGAGACGCCTATTAATTTTTTATGAGGATCAGGTGAGAGATGGGTAGGTATAGGCATTATATATATAGCATTATAATTCTGGCATTATGGGCATATCCATAATGCCAGAATTTACTATTTTTTCCCAGTATGTCATGATTACGTATAAGCAACTTTTAGTTGAAACTTGATTTAATTTTCTTCAACCGACCTACAGAAGAAAGTCACCGCTCTTATTACTGCCGGAATATTTAAAAATGTTCAACCGTGTTTGGATTTTTCCTGTGTCCTTTAAAGACGCTAAACTTCTGATGAGGGTAATTAGCAGCAGGCAGTACTCGAAACATTCTGTTGATAAGATAAAAGCGACTAATTGAATATTTTTAATTGTATCCGATATATGCGTAACTTGTTATACTTCGATAGGACTCGATATGATAGTTTAACATTTTGGCTTCTAACTTTTGGACAAATAGGAATTTCTGGAAAACCTGAATAACGAATAAAATTTCTTAAAACTTTTTATCTTAAAAAATAGTCGAGAACGTCAACAGTAGATACCCTATGGAGGGAAACAAATCGGCTTTTTAAAGCAAACATTCATCTCTTTAAAAGTCTCTTCACAGGTTAGACGATTTTGATAAAACCTTGCAAGTTGGTTTTGCAACGGATCTTTGTTGCTTAGTTTTACAAGGAAAATTTACTGCTTAGTGCCCTAAGTAGCAAACAACTGCAAACAGCAGAAAATTTACCGCATTTCTAGTGTTTATGAGTATAGAAAAAATAGCAAAAAAATTAATTGTTATTAAAAAATTGTAATTAACTGTTTCCTGTCTGGCCTCTTGTAAAATTTTTATCAAATCTACAGTTTATCTATTAATAATTATTTACGATATCTATATTCAGATTTTTAATTATTTGGAACAAATAAAATTATTATTTCTGGATAACTGCACTAATTTAAGTATTTTATAAAATGTTCAAAATGTTTACCATTTTCCCGAACACATAAATTATTTGTTTTTAAAAACTGTACTTTGGGCATCGTGTCGGGCTTGTTTTTAAAATAATCTGGAAAGCGACGGTCAAAGCATACGCTTTTGATTTAAGAAAGCCAGCGGCGTTAAATCGGGTGATCTTGCTGGCCAATTTATGGGGGCATTGTTGCCTCTTCCGATCCATCTATTAGGATATGATTGAAGTTTTTGCAAAATTAAGCAACATTGGATATGGGTAATGCTTAGATCGTCTAATTTTCAGTTCGGAAATTCCTGGTCAATCGTTATACAGTCATTGAAGGGGCACCCTTGTACATAATAATTTCTTAGAAATCTTATGATACTAATTTTTACCTAAAATATTTTTGTGGATCTTTGTATAATCTCTGTAGTGGCCGTAATAGAAATGGAAAAATATTTTCCTATAGTTTATCATATCATATTTTTCCAAGAATGTATGATAACCATTTTATTAACAAAATTTCTGGCGATCTATAGATTCATAATACTTATTGTATTTTGTGTGGAAATTACTCAATCAACTCACATGCCCTAAAATATTGTTCTGAAAACTTTAATTTAAAATTGATCATTTGCAGGTAGCGTTTATACTTGCAGTTGCATTCGCTAATTAGTTAACACTTTTCCATTTAAACAGCTGATCCATATGCAATACTATATGAACACAATCGACTATTTATTATTTTACTGGTCATTTATCAGTAACCTAGAGGAATTCGCTATTTAACGGCAAGACCATGACAATTCATTTCCTTTACCGCTTTTAAATTCCTCAAATTATTAAAATGATTTTTTATTGAACGTGTTCTATTCGATTATTGTGACAAATTAATTCAGCACATTTTAACACACCGTTAAATTAAATTTCGAATAAATAAAAGAATATTTTTTGTAATTTCACTTACCGATGGTAAATTGCATGTGTGAAGTTCATCCAAAGTTGGCCTATTAGCAGCTTGCAGAGACATAATATTCCTGTAGTTGTCCAGTCTAGGTAGAGCTTCTCTAGTCAACGGTCTAAGAAATTGCATTTTTTCAAAAAAGAAAAATGATAGTGAAGTTATCGACTACCTGGAGTGCTTTTGGGTATAACTCAGGCTTAACCGAGTCCTGTCCGTGGTTGAAAAAACATCATCGTCGCTGCTATTGTCTTCAATTATTTTGTTGGGAACATGTCGTTCATAGTTGTTGTAGCTGTCGGTGCGAACTCTATTTACCTGAAATCTGCTTCGTTTCTCTGGAGGGTTGCGAAGAAAATCCAATTCAGTTTGGTCGGTTTCTTCATGGACCGATTTGCCATCCTTAGGCATATCCTGAAAATGAAGAAAAATAGATGCGTCAAGTACCGTCGATGAACTAAATTCAAAACATCTAAGCTAAAAATAGTTTACAATTTACACCTCCGACTTGTTGCAATTCGATACTTAAAGGTCTATTAATATCATCAATTTAGCATGTGGATGCAGCGACATGTATGCATGCAAATAGCCCAATGCTACTTCCGATTTTGATAAGATAGTAAGAAAGAATGACAGTGGAGGAGAGAACGTGGGAGAATAAAGGTTTAAACGTTGATGGTATCTTTTTGAACCATTTACGCTTCGCCGATGACATAGTGCTTATTAGTTCARATATCCAGGAGCRTAAGAWMACGCTAGAACAGCTAAATAAAGCTGCAAATAACGTCGGACTAAGAATAACTAGAATTTATCAAAAACAAAAATAATGAGAAGGTCAAAAACATAAGAATAACAGTAAAAACTCTGGATATTGTAGACGAATATATATACAGGGTGAGTTTTTTTCAATGACCTTTGAAACTATAGCTAGCAGTTACAAAAAAGTTTATTTGAACAAGAATTTGAACAAGAAAACATTTACAAAGAATTGTAGTTTTGAATGCACTACTCGAAATCAATTTTATTTTTCTAAAATTTGACAGCTATTAAGAGATTTATTTTTTAATTTATGGTAAATTTGTAAATTACTCTTAGTTCCGTTGATATTAATTTGACAGAAAAACATTAAAAAGAAAACTTTTAGGAAATTGAATTCCAAATAAAATGGCATACGACATTTCTTCAAAATAACTGTCATTAACGATTTCTGTGATATATCACATCGTTAGGAATTTTTAGTCAATAAAGTGTCTGCGAACAATTTACACTTTTCAATTGAATTTCTTCCTGACTATTCATAATCTCGGTTGTTTTGCATTTTCAGAAGTTTACTCGAAATCTTACACTGAACTGATGTTCATCAGTTCTATCAGTTCAGTGTAGGGATGACACAAACCAGTATTTTTCAATCACACGAGTTTTACTGAAATTATATATTTTATTCTCATGAAGTGCTAAAGTTTTGTATGTATGGTAGTGGGACGTGGGACCTGATGATTTTCGAATCCATGCACCCATGATTCGGCAAACAGCAATATTCGATGAACAGAAAATATCGGGAACAACAGTAACAGCCGTCTCCGATATTTTCTTTAATGTGATCAGGTCTGTGAGTCACCGGCTGTGACTGACTGACTCTTCTTTCAGAATTCTGAGCTGTTCCTTGTTCTTGGAACTTGTTCTTTTTCGAAAAATAGTTGTGCTTCTGAAATAAAATAGCATTTCTGGCATTTGCCCAGTGTGGCAGTAGTGGACGAACTACATTTAAATTTATTAAAATATAGGCCCTATTTACCTAGCCTGGACATGTTTCAATATTTGTTTATATCAAACATAGCTGAAGTATTAAATGGCCAATTTTCAATGAAGCGATAAGATGAATTGTAATCAGTAATTAGCATGACAATAGAAGATAGGCAAAAAAATTTCACATTTTACTGCCCTTAAGTGAAAAAAGATAGAAAATGTGGTCACCTTTTTTTGTGTTCAAATAAAGTTTCGATAAAATGGTAAAACGTTACTCATAAAAAATGTTATGGCTTACTATCAGCTATTGCATACATCAAGGAACAAAAGGCAATCGATCTTCGGTCATAATTTATCGCTGACCCAGCAGATTCGCACCCAAATTACTCAGATGTGGCGTGGATATCCTTCAATGGAACAATTAGTGCAGGCGCATTAGATTAGATTTTTCCGGTCACTAAATAGATGAAAGTAATTTTTTTCCAATTTTTTATAATTAATTTGGTTTTGCTTCAAAAAATCTCACTATAACTTTTTTTGAAGCTGTATACTTTATAAATGGTATAAATTTTAGTTTCAAATATTCATAACTTTTTTTTCATTCCTATTTGTTATGTAAAAAGGGCTCTTGCCAGAATCTAAATGAGTTTTTCTTGAGACATTGGAGATACTTCTCTAAGGCTGTATTTTACTCGTAAAGAGTTATACTACAACGTACAATAAATGAAAATTTTATTACTGACTGACCAAAAAAAGTTATGGTACGATTTTCTTGAAACAAAACTAAATGAATTATTGAAAATTAACAACACGCTGAAATCGACGGTTTTTTCTTCGATTTTTGAGTAAACTAATGAACGGATTTTAATGTAGTTTATCTGATACCATAGGTATTTTTAATACTTGAAAAAAAGGATAAAACTTTATATCAATAGAATCAACGGTTCAACAGTTCTTTAATAATATATAAATAATTGTTTACAAACAATGTTCCACAGCCGGAAATCTAACACAAACTATTGCCTCAATATTCTGACATCCTTCCGAACAACTTCCAATAATCTTTTAAGTACCCGAAACAGACCTTTTAAAGTCTAATCCGATTGGACTCAAAATACGCTTCAGCCCGGTTTCAGGTACAAACCAATAGTTATCATGGGCCAAAATAGCATGTACGAAAAAATCACAGATGCTTGGAACAATACGAGCTTGGAACAGTCACACATGGAACCTGTGACCGAAAAATACTGGTTTTGTCATCCCTACAGGGATGTTATGTAACCGTGATGTAACGTGGTTTACCAGATGCGTACCATCTGGTGTAATTCAAATTTCTAACGAATTCCACTTAGTTCCACGGACAACCCGTGGAGCCCCACAAAAGAACCCTCCTATGAAAATGAGCCTGGTCAAGAAGGCCAGGTCATTTTTCTTGGGTACTTTTTTCATCAGACGCAAGTTTTTGTTCATTTGCATTTCGTTTGTGCATTGAGCATTGGCTATTGTTTTAAAACACACCTAACAAGTAGAAAGTTAGAGTCCTTCCACTTTTTGAATATTGCAAGGTAAGTGAACAGATATATATATTTTTATCTATCTTTGACTAGACACCAAAAATGACCATGTGATTTCATAGGTTTGTCCGGTCGGCATCAAGGGCAGATCCAGGAGGGGGGTCATGGGGGTCACGACCCCCCCCCTAGTGCCGGGTTTTTAACGACTAACGAGAATTTTTCTAATTTCATGTACAACAAAAGACTGAATTTCTACTACTTGACCCCCCCCCCTGACTCAAAAGCTGGATCCGCTCCTGGTCGGCATCAACGCCGTATTTTAGCTAACACGAGTTCTTCAATTTCCAATAAGAAGTTGAAAATTAAAGATTCTTCCGACCAAAATAATTTCAAAGCCGTAATTGCACTAAGTTGGACTTGGTGAAACCTAAGGCTGAACTTCACGTTGCATCGGTTCCCGAGCCCCTTGTCGAAGCCGATAAATCCTTGTTCATGGAAGGACCAGAGAAATAACAGTTTCAAAATTGAAGGGCTAAATGTTAGCAAAATTTGGATTGGTATGTATCCATTTAAATGGTGAGATTTATAATGTCGGATTTTGCATTTGAAGATTTAAATCCTTCTAATACATACATTTTTATTCTTACTTTAAAATAAGATAAGTGATACTAGAGCATCATGGAGCCGTCGAATCTTATGTCGAAACTGCAATATCAGAGTGGTTTCGACTTAGTAGGCAGAGGTTGCAAATAAAAATTAATGTTAGAACAAAACGTTGAACAGTTATTTCAATAAAGTTCCGTATTTAAGCATTTTTAGAACAAATCGCTTAAATTAATTTTATGCGAGACAATTGATTAACCCTGTATTAATTCTGAGGTCGGTCACACAGAACATAAAATTTTGTGAATATTATACAATTTCTACTACTACTACATAAAAAGTCATAACTTCTAACGTCTTCGTCTAACGTAAATATTATGTAACATATTAGTCACATATTAGTTGGCTGGAGGCGGACATAAGGCACAGTTGGTGCATCAGTTTGTGATAAGATATTTACGTAAACTGTTACTTCCGTGTGACTTTGTGATTTTTGATAATATGTATGTAAGTGTTGCGAGTTTTGGTTTGCTGGGTTAATTAATTATGAAAATCGACCACCAATTGTTTACTTTTTAAAATTGATTAATGTAGCTATAAAAATTGAAATCCTCTCATTTTTTATCAATCAACATCCGTGCAGTAGAAGCTGAGATGTAAATGAATAAATATAAACAACCGAAATTTTAAAACTTTAACACCGCTCGAAAAGTTATTAAAAATTAAAAAATAGTTAAAATAGCAATGATAGTTTAAGCGCCAAAGAAGGTGTAAAAGTGAGGGCGCAAAAAAACATGTATAACATTGAGCCTGGCACAAAATTAAAAAAGGGGTTTTTTTCCAGTAGGTTATTTAACAATTGCATTATCCAAAAACTGTCCGTCCGATCTTAATCGGCCTTGCCTTATTTTTCCATTGTTCAATAAATATTTGGAAATAACCTCGTTTTTTACCTTTGAGCATTTTAAAGCGAATATTTAAAATCATCCGACGGATATCGGACCAACTATCTTATAGAAAATTGCATAACGAACAAATTTATAAGTATGCATTTTATATACATAGGATTGATTCTGGGGAACACTGCGATTTTCGCTTTTCTTTTTCAATATTGTCATATTTTCAATACGTTCATGGTGGATTCCCGAGCGTTTCCTATAGTTATCTGTTACGTCACGATAGAGCCATATTTGAAAAATTTTGGCTTAATCGTCGGAAAAAATACAACAGAAACGAAATTTTGACGCCGATCAGCCTGTTTTTTTTTTTAATTATTCCTGATAAAACTCAGAAATTTCATAGCAAAAGTTATGGAGGCAGAAAGTTGTACGTTCAGAATAACTGAGCGGCTGTCAAAATTTTTAAAATGAAGTGAATATAAAATCCAAGAAAGTATGCTTTATTGCCACAGAAAAAAAAAACAAATTTCCACAAATTTTATGGACAAAACGAATGGAAACAATATACTAATGCTAAAATATAGCACATGCAAAGACAAGAAATTCACTCTTGAAAATGCCAATACAGACCAATAACTCTACTGAAAATGTTGGAAGCAATCGATAACGAAAAGGAATTTTTCATAAGCCGTTTAGAAACCACCAAATATTCGCAGAATGTTGCGGAAAAAAAATATTGCGAACTGTCATAAACATGCACGATTGTATGAACCAGAGCTCATAAACTAGTTCCGTCCAGATAGTGAATTCCTAAGGAAGAAATACTTCATCAATGAGTTGTGCGGAAAGTCAAAATAATACTGTAGAAATCGAAATCGCGATCCAAACGTAAAGGGGAAATAAATTAAATGTAGAAGAAATAATTGATTATTCAATAGTGGAATACGTCTAGTTGCAACCAAGATTCACTTCACAAAAATAACCCAATTTAATGAATACTTGCTCGTGTAATGTTTTACTTTCGAATGTTTATCGGTTTTTTATCTTTGAGGCAAAAACATAACTTTAATTTTTTTGTGACTGTGAAAAAGTATCGTATTTAAATTTCATTATTTTATAACAGCCCTAAATACTTTTTATATTGCACTTTCAATTGAAATATATTACAAGTACAACTAAATTGTACTTGTTTTTTCTCTATGAATTCCAATATTAATCGAACGCCGAATTATAACGAAAGTTTAAAAAACTTTGTTTATCGAAGACCATTACACTTTTAAAAAGAATATGACTTACCATTATAAACAACTTTTTAACTGTTGTTCCATTCACTCACAGGAAACTTTTACAACATTGAAGCTTAATTCACAGATCTGTTCCCAAGCGCAATGTTTAATAATAATAAATCTGCATGTGGTAGTCAGCTTTAGAAAATATTCGCTTAGTATAAAAGGCCGAATTTAGACTATTATTTATTTTTGTTGATATACAAAGGCAGATACACTAGGCAAAACCGAATACCAACTTTACCATTGCCAACCGGTAACTGAAGTTCAGGCGATCGAAAACTATAGCATGAGCTTTACAAAGCTTTGCAATAAGCAGGTCCTGTGAGTAGATGAGTAGTTTTTCGAATAAAGTCTGCGCGTAAAAGTTAGGGTGAGTAGCAGATGTTTGCCGGTGGACTGCACGCATTCGTCGCCTTTTCCCCCCTTTCCACCCTTTCGAATTTATCTATCGACAAACGGGAAAATCACTATAAAAAATCCCTGAAGTGATTAGTTTAGTCAACAGGAAGTAAACAGTACACTCTTCACACGGTCTTATCAGATATGCTTGTGCTAAATAAACGCTATTTATTCTTCAACGAATTATTATCAAGAAAAAATCATAGATATTCAAGGTGATTTAGTACGGGCCGTTTTTTCAGTCGATTATAACTTATCTAATTTGAACCCAACTTGAAGCCAGATAGAAAATCAGTATTATTTGTTTCAAAACTCTTAAGCACGCATATTTTCAAAATGTTGGCAATTATTTAGAGAACGTCTGAAAAGTTGCAACTCAAAAAACAACTGTTTCCTACTAAAATACCCTATATTTTATTTTACTGATGAATTCTTATCCAAATTTTAATTAATTCTTTTTAGTTAAATTATGAACGAAAATTAAATAGTTTTTTAGTTATTCGGCTTTAATAATGAAAATTCGCACTTTCATGGTGTTGCTAAAACGAAAATTTCTCCGTCGTCTTTAAGCGCAAAATGTTGAAATTTGCCAGGAGAAAGGCCCCAAGTGATTAATCTTTCAAAGTAGTTTATACAGGGTGAGTTTTGTTCGATGACCAGTACAGGGATCTTGGAAACTATAGCAGTTACGAAAAAGGTTAAATGGCCAAAAAATTGTAGTTTTCAATGCTCTACTCGAACCCAATTTTATTTTTATAAAAATTGACAGCTGTCAAGAGACGTTTGGGAAAAACTTATTTACGGTAAATTTTTAAATTACTCCTAATTCTGTTGATATTAATTTGACAGGAAAACATTAAATAGAAAACTTCTAGGAAATTGAATTTCAAACAAAATGGCATAAGGCCAAAATAACTGTAATTTTTGACATA